TGACGCCATGAGCACAGCGCATGCTGCGGGGGTGAAATTCGTAGCTTTCTTTTCTTTCGCTCCGGGGATCCGGGCCTTTTAACCCGATCTTAATGCGCAGGCTGTCTTCGACTTTCACATGGAGGAGAAACTGCCCTGGAGTGTCCTGTTCGCCAAAATTGAAGAGCTGGAGCTGTTGTTCTCGTTCGAGCACGTCTTGGTTTCCGAATGCACACTGGAACAGATCTTCATCGGCTTTGCGCGAGAGCAAGACAAAAGGGAACTAGAACGCGACAATGCCATCGGTGCACGGCCAACGAGGTAGAAGGCCAAGAATAAATAGAGATATATTTGTTTATTTATTTTGTCGGGGTATCATCGTTGCCAAGGCTAACATGGATTGAACAAACTTTCTTAGATGTATCGGTTGACAAGCACCACGGAAGGGAGTCGTTCGAGAACTGTTCTTTGTTGCCTGCACGCAAGTAGGTACGGGAGCGATCCTATAGCGTCACCAGCGTCACCGTTCCCACGGGCAGCCAAATAGGACTGTTTTTGAACGACGCTTTTTTTGTGCAAACTTTGTTTAGCGCAGGCCATATGCATCCAACTGTTCACCTCTTCTAAGTATTATGTCGATTGAGAGGGCTGGTAAGGCTAAAATAAAGGCCCTCAACGTGTTTCCGTTTGTCTTTCAAGTAGCTTCAAATGCGACAGTGCATCAGATCCGAGTTTCGAACGGCTCTTGCAATTTCTCAAGTGATGATAAGTGCCGTCACGGTGCTCATTCGTCACGAACGCGAGTTCAAATATTCGTCGACGGATTGATCGTTGACGAGCGCATACGTCCGGGTGACGCAGTGCTCGTGTCCGATGCGTGGACTTGGGTCGGCTGACGTGCTTGAGCACCGCGAATGCATGACAGTGAAAAGGAGGAGTACTTTCGAAGGAAAGGAGGGGTAGGGTGTTGATATGTTATATAGACGTGGTTCCTCCTCGATGGTGTGGAGGAGGATGGCTTGCGTTGGATGGTGGCAGTGGTGTAACAGTTCGGGCCAGACAACTGTTTACGCAGGTACTGCTTTGCAACAGAATAAAGTACAAGTTAGCATACGAGATAAAGGAATACAAACATCGACAACCCGAGCCCAGGGGTGGTATGCTGCGCTTTTCGGACTCCCAGGAGACTAGAGAGAAGGAAGTGACGTCAAGAACGCAGCAAATGCAGATTGGATGTTGATTTTGTTTTCTTGTTTCAACATCCAACCTGCATTTGCTGTGTCGTTGACGTCACTTCCTTCTCCCTAGTCTCCTGGGAGTCCAAAAAGCGCGACATAGCACCCCTGGACTTGGCCGCCGTTACAGCGTGGCTCCTTTCTCTCTAGCGGTACCGAACCAAAGACCCCCTCCCCTCCCTTTGTCTCGTCTGTGCTCTAATTGAGAGCAGCCTGTCCCTTTTTCCCATTTTCCCGTGGGTGCCAACATTCTCATCTGGCGCTCTGAGCCCAGGGCCAGACGGCGCCAGGCATAGGAGGCGCAGACGAGTCTGGTCCTCAGACACGACAAATCACCCCTGGCACTCCGAACACCGGCTGGAGGGACAGGTTCCGACAGACGAAGCACAGCGCCGAGACATTTCTAGGAGAGCGACCGACACTTGTCAATTGGAAGCGACAAAAGACTCTTTAAGCAAACACAACCCCAAGTGGTGGCACGGGTCGACTACCAGAGAAAAAACACTTAACCGCGGTGCCTTCCCAGCTGCAGGCAGCCGAGCGGGGCGCGGAAGGCGACCCAGCCCGCCGCGCCTCGGCCAGTTCCCGAGTAAGGGGACACCCGCACCGGAAAGGGGGGCTCGCCGCCCCGCGCACAAAGTCAACATCCCCTAGTGAACCCCACACGTCTCCCCCATAATTGTTCGCGCAGGGCCTCTAGACAAAGTAACACAACAAAAGAAAAGGTTCCGGAACCTTACAGGAGGTACAAAATAATTCGCCATATTTTCAAATTTTTGTGCCGAAAAGCAAGCTTTAAACGTTCTACGCTCATGCACCAGTTTTATGCTGGCGCACTAAACAATATGCGATTAGTAAAATTCCAAAGTATCCCGGCCGAGAATTACTTTCGTGCTCGCTTGAAAGGGGCGATGCAACAAGTTTTGTATCTTGCGCAAATATCACTTAGTAGGAATCTGGTGTTAATGACCGATAAAACACGCGTTCGTTCTTCACCACACGCAATATAAGTCGCAAAACAAATTAGAGAAAAATAAAATCATGAGCCAGTCACTCTTTGAAGGCGGATGACCAGCGAAGCTGTTTAGCCCTCGACACAGACGTGACACCAAATTTTGAACAAAGGTAAGAGCACAGTTATTGTCTTGATCGGTGGTCGTTATTTCGCGTGGACGAGTATCTGATGGAACATCAGAAGCACTTGTCGGGCACACATGTTTCTGATGTCAGCTTTATCGAGCGTGATCAGTAGGCAAAACCTCTTGCACTGAAACTGCCCCCCTCAAAAGCGCTGCAGGTTGTGTCTATGGATCCGCCTTCTGATCTCCTTTCTGTGAAAGAAGTACAGCAGCACTGAGGTAGATGCGTCAGAACGTACAAGAAGAGTTTTGAAGTATCTAGTGATAAAGCCACAAAAGCGGTGAACATTCTTGACGTAGAAATGCAACTGCCATGACAAAGGGGTAACATGACTGCCTCAACCGACCCATAGAAGTCCTACCGTATTCACATATGCGTGGCTTTCCTGGAACACCTGGACAACCTGCTGCCATTCTCTGCTCGAACCAAGACGTGACTTTCGAGGTTGATTAGGTGATTTGCCAGTTTTCACTATCATCATTACATCGCCTTGACTTTCTCTTGTGAATTCGCTTCGGAAAGACTGGCGTTCGGAACAGATGAATTCACTTTATCAAAGGTTGTTTATACTGTAACATATAGCGCCATTTGCCAAGAAGGGCACTTTGTTTTTCTACAGTGGCACCATTGTTTTCACGATAAATTAGCGCAGATGTCTGGAGGTGTCGTATATTTTAATTGTGTATCGTTATATTCGCTCTTATTGCCGTGTTTACTGCTAAGTGTGGTGACTTCTGTTAACGGAAGTAAGAAATGAATAAAACATTAAAATGACATTCGTGTTACGAATTCCTTGGTGCAACGCTTGGTGCATCTTTCTTATCTGACGTTCTAGAAAAAAAGTAGGAAATCGTTATTATAATTATTACAATTGTTTTAGAAAAAACAAACTAAACAAAATAATTAAAAACATTACGGTTGTTTGCGGTGGCAGGGGGGGGGGATTTCTCTAAGCATACAACCAGTGGCGTCACTAGGGTCAGCGACACCTGGGGCGGTGGCCCGCAACGACCCCCCCCCCACCCCCCCCCCCCCCTAACCACCTTCCGGCTCGCCTGTCACTGCCCGCCTCCACCAAAACAACCCCCCCCCCCCGCCCCCCCTTCTCGTGGCCCTCCGCGACACCCCCCTGAGCTCTGCACCCAGGGCGCCGGGATAGGCCGAGGGCGCCGCGCGCTGACGACTCGATTTTTGCTTCGCCGGAGCACACCTGTATTGCGCGGAGAAGGCGCGCTCAAAGGGGCACTGACACCCGCCAAACTTTGTTTTTTATTTTTTTGCCAGGCGATTAGTTATGGTGTCAGAAGATTACCCAGTCGATATTTTGCTACAGCGTCACGTATAGTTTTAATAAAGTAAAAACACGCAACTGCCCGAAACAAGCCGAAACTGGACTGGGAAGGAAGAAGAAATAGAGAGGAGGAAAGAGGTGGCGGAAGTCACGTGGCTGTGATACTTTTTTTCCCTCAACAACGCATTTGCAGCTTTTTAAAAGCCCTAAAAATGGGTATCATAATTCTTTTTTTATTTTTAATATTGATTGATATTATTATTAATAATGATTGCCTTCGATGACCTACGACTTTGGTTCCCCTATGAAAATGGTTAATGCCATTTGAAAGTCATATTATTGCCAAATGGCAACAGCTGTTTACAAATAGTCAATCAGCAGGCAACAGATGTTAATCGTCATTGAGACGTCACCCTGCTGACCCGGATAGCCATTTCGCCACCGTCAACTTTTTGCCGTTCTATTGGTTATTGTCGGTGTATCATCAGTGTATCTACATGTTAACGTTAAATGGCTAAAGGAGGCAATCAAAGGACTATACATTTTATAGTCTTTTGACTGCCTCCAATAGCCAATTAGCATTAGCATGTAGATACACTGGCAATGCACCGACAATAACCAATAGAACGGCAAAAAGTTGACGGTGGCGAAATGGCTATCCGGGTCAACAAGATGACATCTCAATGACGATTCACATCTGTTGCCTGCTGATTGACTGCTCTTAAACACCTGTTGCCATTTGGCAATAATACAAAATGGCATCAACCATTTTTATAAGGGCATAATTATCACATAGACGTCATTTGATCGAATTTCGTGACCATTTCGCCATAGTCAACCCCTCGTAAACTTTAAGCTGGCCAGCCGAAAAACTGCAATAGTTTACATGGCCTACCATTGATTCCATGCCTGATACACATAGTGCCGGCTTGCAATATGGGAAGAAAACAAAGATTGAAGGACAATTTAAAGACCCAAAATTTATTTATCACAATGTCATTAAAATGACGTGTTTTTTATCAAGACTAAGTTAATCACCCAAATGTAAACGATAAGTGAAAAAATAACCTTTCCTTGCTTCCTGACATATCTGTAAGGTATCAGCTGAAAGAAGAAAAACATTATAAATTAAGTGGGCATATAACCAGAAATATTCTTGCAGCACATTCAAAAATATGCACAGAAGAACCTTGCTCAGATGTTTTCTCGGCTGTTATGTTCACGGAAACCGGTCCTATTGAACGTCCAAAAGTATATATGTGTTAGAATTACAGGCTTCATGAATTTCCTTCTTGGTTCTTATGCCCAAACACTGCCACTCAAGGTGGCTGGCATGACTACTAGGAACACATACCCTGTTCCTTTTGTTTTACTCCCTTTATTTTACCTCCTTGCCTCTCTGCACTGTGTTTCTTGCTTGGTCCTGTATGACAATAAGAGATTCAGGCTCTCACGACACCCCATTTTGCTTTACCACCTCCATGCCACCATGTTCAAGCAGTGCTGATTGCATCAAGCCCCACTGCTTTGATGTGGCATGCAGGGTGCAGTGATTTGTTTGAGGCAGCCGTGGTTTAGCTCGATGGGCTCAGAATTTTTGCATCCTTATATTTCAATATTTTTTTAACTGCAACGATAGACAATGCATCACTGCGATGGCGCGGCTGTCGGCACAGCACATGTACACACATGTCTGCTCACACGAATCTAGTTCCTGCGTATGCAGTGCCCATAGCTGCTGTGGGCAAACACAAGCTTGTCTGTAAACAGTGTGTTACTTATAGTTCAACCACAATTTTAAGAAGTGTTGAAAAAATTGTCAACATATAAAATAAGGCAATCTTTTTTACAGCCACAAAAGCTAAGGTAAGATAAACAGAGAATACAGCTTCCTGAAACATCTATAGCTATCCCAAGGGCATTATCAGTTGTTACATCTTCGCTCATGTCATGATCCTTTATTGTGACTGCATAAAGATGCAGCAGCAGGGTTCTACTGTATTTCACACAATGTTTGAATGTGCAATAGCTTTAACTTCCACAACACATCAGCCAACCACAGGTTGTCAAAATGTCAACTCCACAATAATGTAATAAGTATGAATACAATAATAATCCCTGGAAAAGGGGTACAAGGGGGAGAAAGGTCAAAGAGGAATCTCCTTTGTCCCCTTGTTCCCCATTTTATTTGATGTGATTATTATTGTCATTCTTGTCTTGAATAAAAGGGTCTACTCGTGTCTCTTAAAGGACAACTCCTCTCAATTCCAGGAATTTCGGGGTTTTTGGTGATTATACACTAAGGTATACTAATAAACGGCTCGACGTCGTTTGTTTCTCAAAAAAGGAAATATAATTTTCGTAATCCTTCTTTACTCCTGATCACGAACCGAAACCGAAACTGCGCCCGCGCCTGGCAACATTGGCCCCGCGTCGTCATAGTCTGGGTCAACCCACGTGGTACGAACGTCACCGCACGACCTCGCCGACTGCGCGGACGGACGGATCGGCGGAACAAGCGTCGTAGCGCCGTGTCGTCTGCTCCACGGTCTCTGCTATCCAACGACGTGTGCACTACCGCGGCCGCAGAGTGTTTTGACGCAGAAAAAGGCAAGTTGTTTTAAAGTTATGTTTTGGAACCATTAGTAGTTGAAGTTAAGTAAACCACTCGTAATATGCCAGGCATCGCAGCACAAAACGTTGCTCCGAGACGCAGCAGGTTCGGTCTTCCCGACGACGAGCGCGGAGCGCTCGCTCAGACACTCATCAGCGCATGCGCGTTTTGGATCACGTGGACATCGGTATGCACGCTGCTGGCGCCGCCTGTAGGCTGCGCCTCAATAAAGTAAAAAACAAGAAAAAAAGCGGTCCCAGACTATGACGTGCGGCGCAGTGTTGGCTGCCCCCACACGCGGTATTGACTGCGCTGTTCTCTGCGCCGCACATCGGCCGCTAGAATTAGCAGATTTCGGAGACTTGAGGCATCTCAAACTTTGTTTACCAGTTTAACAAACTTTTAGGCTTAATTACGTCGTAATACTTGACGTGTAGTCTTTCTAGGTGATACTAAAGAGAACTGCGTTGTTTTTTCAGCATCGAAAACGAAGCGGAGTTGCCCTTTAAGAGAGGGAAGCAGCTTACCTGGAAGAGCATAGCGCCCCCGGGACAGAAATCGAGAGAGGCTGTCCTCGACTTGCTTCCCCACATTGCTGTACTCCGTGAAGGTGCGAGCTGAAAGAGCAAATGAGAATTGCAATTTAAAATGATGATAGCCCCTAGAAAGCTGCACTCAAGTATTGGCACCCTTTTCCTCATTGTCCAGTTCTGCCAAAACGGTCATTCATCCATTTGGATGGTGAAATTCGTTCATGCGCATGCAGCTTGTGGGCACTGCCATGTGGTTATTGCGTCATTACTTGAATTTAATGTAAATATTCACTTCACCTTAGACAAAGATTTATCTATTACTTTTGATAAGATCTTTGGATGCTTGGCAATTTTAACAGCAGCCTGCGGGGCGCACTCATAGATGCACCACTCTTCAATCAGTTTGGGGAGTGCGTCTTTAAACGCTCACTCTTTTTATCGTACGGGAGGAAGCACCATCTATCCCCTAACATCGGAAATAATTTTCCTTTAGAAATTAAAGCTATGATGGTAGCACAAGAAAAGTTTCGTACAAAAAAATATAGGCAAAATAGGGACAAAAAAATTTTTTTTTGGTCATGGGTCCCCAGTTACAAGGTCAAGAAATAGATTAATCTTGTGTGTTAACATTTTTTTCAAAGCAAAAACATGACAGGACTATGTTATCAAGTGTATAGCTCTTTTTACTGTGGTCATAATGAGGTGGCATAGCCTTTGTCATTTGCCCAATAATGCTCAACAAACACAAAACTAAAACAAAAATTCTCGCAGACCAAGAGCCATTACTACATGCAGTCCAAGTTTTGAGGGTAAACATTTTGGCAGAGGCCTGCCTGGTCGGGAGAAAGCTTAAAAACTCAAAAACATCCGTCCACACACCCGCATCTGTGTTCCCTACATAAAGGGGACTAGCGAAGCGCTGTCATGTATGCTGGTAAAAGAAAGTATTCAGGTGTCCAACAAACCGGTATCAACACTTTCACGTATGATGCTGCGAATTAAAGGTCATCCCTCTAAACAAAGAGCGCAGGGCATTGTATATTCAATTCCATGCCACCTACATTGGAAAAACAAAGACCTTCCCAGAAAGAATTCAACAACACAAAAACAACTGCAAATTCGACCACGAGCGCAGCGCTGTTGCAGAGAGCTGTGAGGACAATGAATATCGCATCAACTCTGCCAACACCCTCATAAATGTTGAGACAAACTTCTGCCATCAGCTTTTTATAGTCATGGCATATCCAAACAACACCAGGAAACATCAATAGGTCCACTGGCACATTGCCATCATGCTACGTGAACGGACTCAGCCACCTAACGAAGTGAAAAAAAAAGAGACTATCGTAGAAGAAAACGAAGCCGTTGTCCCCTATCTGGAAGCAGTCACCCCTGAAGAAAAAAACAAGCTGTTTTTGAAACGTTGGGACCTTGTTGTAGGATATGGTTGGTGATTTTTTTCAAATTCCAATGTATGAGTTTAGCATTTGTTTGAGTCATCATTCACTTTTTTACCATATTTACCCGCATAACCCTGTTGGAAAATATCGATGATGGAAAGATGACGGAAAAGGCTCATACAAGCGTAACCGTAATATGGGACATCCTATACAAGCGAAAAAGGCGGCTCCAGTATAGTGGAATAAGGCGGAACGATACAGGTGGGCGGAACCATACAAGCGTGTCGTATTATGGGACATCCTATACCAGCGTAGTGGATTAAGGCGGAACCATGGAGGTGGACGGAACCATACATGCATAACGTAATATGGGACATCCTATACCAGCAAAAAGGCGATACCAGCATGGTGGAGCCATATGGCTCCAGCATGTTGGTTTCGCCTTTTCACTGTTGTACAGGGCGATTTAGTTTTAAGCTTTACATATATGTTTAGAAAGGTCGTGAAAGCTAAATTAATGCGGTTTGTGCAGGCGAGTTATACGGCCAGGCGTACGTAGTATAGGGACCTAGTCGTAACGATAAGTCAGATAATTAAATACAATTTGTTAATCAACTTTTTAATTAGTGAAAATGAAAATACGGTTTCAATTAGAAACTTGCTGAGTCATTGAAAACCACAAAATCAAGTTTTTTTAGAAGGATATAATGCAGGGGTAGCGTTTTATGCGTTCTGTAAAAAGCTTTATTTGGATGAGTTTCTAGGTTTCAGTTTCTTATCAGAGCTCATCTCTGCGCCCACGGTCCTGTTCCCCAGGGGCTTAGACACGCAACACACGTGCGCCTTGCTTCCCTTCATCCTACGAGGGAGGCGAGGGGGCGGCTTCGCACTGTGGCCACTGGGCAGCTGGACCGCAGGTGCAAAGATGCGCTCTGGTAAGAAACCGAAGTCTGGAAACGCGTCCAAATTGACCATTTTTTTTAGAACGCCATAAAATGCTACTCTTGTCTTATATCTTTACAAAGAAAATTGATTTAGTGTGTTTTGATGATGCTTAGCAAGTTTCTAATTGGAACCATGGGTCTATTTTAACTGATTAAAAATTTCACGAACATACTATACTTAGAGAGAGGCTGAAGCAGTTTTCTATTTGAGAAAACACTTAAATCTTCTTCATTCGACCTCCAGAATCTCAAATATCAAAATTATTTGCTAATTTAATTAATCGAGGCTGCATAGTCATTTTTAAAGCGCTGTGAAAGCACTTCCCTAGAGAGCGACGTCACAAGAGCAGCTTTCAAAATCTTTGTTCACGCATCTTCAGCGCCTATCAAAGCTATGCACGCACATGCTATTTTTTAAAAGGGCAGAAAAATGTGTCACGACTGGTGCCAATGCCGGAGAATATACCTAGAAAACTTGCGATTGGACGAGCGGCCCTTAAGCGACACACGCTTGGCGGCCGAAAGGTCTCCTTACGATGTCACTGTTGGTAGGATGTTTTTGTGTGTTTTCTGACGTTCAGTTATATCTTTGAGGAAAACGAACGGGATATTCAGATTTGCGGGATAAAACTACGCTAGAATGAACCTCCATCTAGTTTTCTGAAAGAAGTCTGGCACATCTCTGTAATAAGCCGACGGATCATTACAAATTAGCCTTTTATACTATGCCGCCCTGGCCATATAACTCACGTGCACAGACCGTGTAAATGTAGCTTTTACGGCTTTTTTTAAAAAAATCTGTAAAACATAGAAAAAAACACTCTGTAGAATGTCCCCCAATACGATACGATTGTATGGTTCCTTCCCCGCTTGCATTGTTCAAGAAAGACTTGTGGACATCCAGCATTTCATTGGAATGCTGGATGTCAGCGAGTCTCTACATCAGTGAGTGGTTTCAAACAAGCATGATGTTTGCACACCAGTAAGCTCTTATCCGAGGCTCACCAGGAGCACTAAGAGCAGAGGCGAAATGTCGTGACCTGGTAAATTTGGTTGCAGGTATTTATTTTTACAAGAACTGCATGCAGCAAAGCTTAACTTTGCTCAAAAGAAGATTATTAAAAATTCAATACTGAACAATGGTGTCCCTTGAGCTGTCAGACCAAACTCCCACTCTTGCCACTCAGGAGTTCCTAACTTGTGCGTAGAGGATCAGCACAACCCAGATTTGTGCTGCGAGCGCACCTGCAATATAAAAGTTGAATAAACATGAGATGAAATATGAGACGTTTACAATTCTCTGTAACGTGAAATTAGAGCACAGATCTTGAAGAGGAGGATGGGAGGGTATGCCCCTCCTCCTCTTCTGCTCCCTCCCATTTAGCGGGAAATTTCCCTGAATTTAGCGGGAAAATTTCCCCCCTAAATTTAGCTGGTTAAGTTTCCCCCTAAATTTAGCGCAGAAATTGATGTCACATGACCTCAACACAAATGCAGTTTTTCCGCTAAAAGTAGCGGGGAAAATGACGTCGCATGACCGTGTCACGTCATCCATAAAAAAATTCAGTTTCTCAGCTAGACTTAGCGGAAATATTAACGTCACATGACCACAACATTAATTCAATTTCCTGCCAAGTTTAATTGGGCGGTTACGCCGACAGCGACGCCGCAAAACGCGGAAACGGGTGCTAAGAGCTGCGCTAAAAACTAAATGCATCAGGTGAAATAAAGTGAACATTAGAGATACTGTAAGAAAAAGAAGAGAATCTAAGATACCGTTCTCAGATCCTTCCGTTTGTCCGTTCTCAAATGTTTTGATTTCAAGAAATGTTTATCTCTTTATTCATACCCAGAGAACCCCTCCCAGTTTCAGCATGAATGCAATAAATCAATGCAGACTAGACCTTGTAAACTATAATCCACATGAAAATGAATGTTTGCCACATAGTCATGTATGAGTCAGTAGCTCAGATCTCTAAATACATTTGTATTGAGGAACATTCTTGAATAAAACTTCTGGGCTTCGAATTCAACAGTTTGTACTTCCATAAGGAACACTGTATGGCACTGATTTCTTTTTTTTTTTTGTGACACATCAGAAACAGCATAGCACTGTCATCCTCGCATACCTAACAAGAATTTGTATTTTCTTTTTTAGCATGGCATGTACTATTCTAATGCTCATACAGCATCCTTTAACCAAATTTCCTTTGTAGAGCTTTTTATTGGTTCTTATTTAGCTTTCACGACAGATTCGGTACCTTGAATTCTCACTTATCATCAACAGTTTTATATATTAATGTAATAGCGAAAGACAAGATGTATGGACTTGAGTACGGCTCAGCAAGCACAGATGTTGAGAAAAGTACTGAAGAAAACTCAAATGTCAAAATAAAAATAAGCTGGAATGTGGATACAATTATGGACATGGTCATGAATACAGTTAGCAGATTCAATATGAAGAATGTGTGTTAGATGCACGCTCAAAGAAACCTGTTGCATCTATATTCATTCAAATTACTTTGCAGAACCCAGCGCTGCAGTCTCAGGTGGGAGTTCGCTGAATGAGTCTACTGAAAATGAGTGTAGACGGAAAAAGCAGTTTGATCTGCGATAATGAGCATTACATAAGTGACATGTCATAATTACTGTTACAGTGCCGAATGTTCCAAACTGTCAGTCGCATCATTCTGTGAGTTCCCTCCATACATTAGAGGGTTTGGCTCTCTCGAATGCTTTG